TGGCAGCTCTAAGGGCTCTTTGGCAGCAACCTGCCGTCGTGAAGCCATCGTCAGACCCGGATCCAGGACAGGGCCCAAGCTTATGCTATCCACGACAGAACCATACCTCCTATTACGAGAGCATCAGTATTGCCCAACTTGTCTACCACCTGCACGAGCGTGCACTTTCCGTCCATGGCGATCAAGAGGACTTGGTCAAACGGCTCAGAGATTACGACTGGGATGGTTCCGACTCAGGCTACAGCGAGTCCGACGACGAAGAAGAGGAAGATCACACCGCTAGCTTCTACCATCGCACGCTAACGCATCAGAGCCTCTACGACGGTAAAGGTCTTCACCCGAGTATACTCATTGGACTGCGCATCCAGGGGTTCTTCTACGATGCAAAAAAAGGGCTGCAATTACACTGTGATCGTGGCTGCTTTAACCTCACATTTTGCGGCTGGCCATGGCCGACATCCGTTGGCTTACCGTTGTGTCATACAGATCGGATCAGGCTCGATAAGGTCTTGTGGAACGGCTTAAGATCTGTCCAGCAGCTGGATGAACAGGGTCTAAACAACAGTATTGGTCTGGACAAGGGGGAAAAGGGAGAAAATTTGCTTATTGTCAGTGCTGTGATCGCGGTGAGGAAAGGGATGGGAGGTGATTACCGTGTGCTTGGGCTGCAGTGCGAGGGGATGAGCACGATGGGATACGTGTACGCTGATGACAGAGAGGCCTGTCGCGTCAAATGTCCGGGGCGGTTTGTTCGCTTTTTCGACGTTGCAGTTGATAGAAGAAAGGATCAATGAGTCTCGCTTAATGCTGCCATGACGCTAGCGATGGCTTCTGGCCTGACCTTGAATTATTTCTATGAAGAATTTCATCTTGCTTCATTTTTGTTTCCCTGTTGAAGATAGTACATTGAGAAGATCATTTGCAAGGCAACAGTCGCCAAAGAGTCTCTTGCACCGTCAGATGCCTCTACGAGCTTGACGCAAGAGGGCATCGTCCTTCTATACAACTCCTGAAATAGATGCAAGGATGGGAATGAGTTTGAGTATAGCTACGTTATCTACTAAAGGTAGGGGGAGCAAGGACTCGGGTACTTCTAGAATGTATGTCTAAAGTACCTCAACAATGGTGACAACGAGTGCGAAGAGCAACTGGGCTCCGTCTAGCACTAGCTCACGGCCAAATCTAAGCGTGGTTCAAAAGATTTATGAACCTTAGGTTTGGTAACGGGATCTCGCCATCCGATACATAACCCGATTCAAGACTCTGGTTGGGTTGCTTGCAGCGCAAGTCGCGAAAGAAGAAGCCGCTGCACGCGACAGTTTCGACAAAATGCCCTCATAATCACAAAAAGACCTTCATTCCTGCCGAGCCCCTTCCATTTGATCCTCCTTCTACTCCACCATGTTTGGCATCTGGCTACTCCTGTTGTTCTTACAATTTTACGTCTTCCCCCTGGCGCAAGCTGCTTCGCTACCGCTACCATCCCAAAGCGACCCCATCACACTCACGGAAACGACGAAATTGACGAGAGCCAACCATGCCAGCATTTCCCTTACTAAACCCAGCAACAACATATCCGTCTTCTTCGGCAACCCGGGAGATCCCATCCCAGCTGCCGAATTACGCCATACCCTCTCCGTCGCCAGGGCCAGTGTCCAAGCTTACCTTCCTCGCTACGCCAATGAGCCAATCTCTGACAGCTTTTTCAAAACAAATATTTCATTCCCTGAGACCGGAAACAGCGTCTGCATTTCCGTTTACGCCTACGGCTTTGGTCTGTCGTGGCTGCAGCTAAGCCAAGTGCTGGTGATCCTCGAGGGGTACATGCGTGGGCGAGGGCCTGGTCATCCGCATACGCACTACCAGCAGCTTGAATTTTACGTACAATTAAGGGCTGGAATTGAGGTGGCGCATGGTGTGGTGGAGTTTGCGCCTGGAGCGAGAGCCGTGGCGAAGCGCACTTTGGTCACCACAACCCTTCTTCAATTACCGCACGCAAACATCTCGTCACTCGGTACTGTCGCCCTACCCATCACATTCCACATCCCCAGAACGAACCTCGACCTCAATATCACCGCCCTCGGCCTTCCCATTCCGCAAGATACCATGCTCACCACCATCGAGTCAGCCTATACAGAGGTAATCTTAGACCACACCGACATCGACTCTCCAATGCCCGCCAACCCACCTTTTTCTTTCACCGCCACTTCTGGGAAACGGCCTCATCAATTTAAGACGGAAATCCTAATCATTCCTTATATTGGCAAACAGTTCTCTTGGGCTTTGCTGTGTATTGTGATGTATGGGTTAAGAGACTTTCTACATCAGACGAGTCATTTCAACTCGGTGAGCTTTCAAATTATAGATGCGAGTTTGGGGAAGATGGGGTCTGGGGATGTGCTTTATTGGCCTGTCAATGAGATGGCATCAACGAAAGGATTGAAGCTGGAATAGGGGAGTCATGGAACGCGAGCTGCTATACGAGCAAATTCTCCGATTGGATATCCGAGAGATACGAATCAAAACCCTCGCATGTAGTCGCTATGCCTTCCTACAAGGCTGAGATTTTACACATTAGGAGTCGTCATATAAATGGGGCGCCTTGATTCTGTCTCTTGGGTCCTATGTCATACCAAAGAAGAACACTTTCTTCTCAAAGCTCACATTTCCCAAGATCGTGGTTTCCGCCTTTCAATCACACCTTTCTAATCTAACGAGATCGTATTGAGTACAGTACGTCACAACGTGAGACCGATTGACCAGCTTGGCATCGTAAGATAACCGCATCACGGAATATGTGTATTGTATATCTGGGATAGCGAAACCACAAAATAGGATGAGACTGAGAGGTACGAGACTTCAGAATCAGAATGAAAGCAAACGTAGCCAGCGATAAAGTACGCAGCTTGACTGTTGCTGCTCCTCAAAAAAGTCGCCTTCAGCATCTCCTCACGTGTCCCACAAGCAGAGCCATCTTCTTGTTTGATAACATCTCTTCAAGTCGGTCACTTGCCACTTCTCGGATAGGAGCATCAATCTCGGCTGCACGATAGAGCCAGCACAATTCTTCATGAAATCCTAACTCTTTTCAGATTCAGTCGGTCAATGACTCACCTCTTCTCTCCTTGCCGCCACTCATATGGCCGCCAACTCCACGATTGATTCTGCACTGACCGAAGATGGGGACATATAACGACAAGTATATGCATCCTCGCGCGTCGGCGGTTTGCGTTGTAGACTCCTACTCGGGCTATGCCTACGAGGAGCGTGTCGTCAGAGATGCTAGGGTCATCGCTGTGTTTACGTTTGTGTTTATATTTTCAAGATCTCTTCTCGGTGGTGGAAGGAAGTGGTCCGACGAGTGGGTCTCTTTTCATGATCTCTCAGGGGGTGCTCCAAAGCTTGAGAGCGACGCTGGGATTTCTCTTCGCCGTCTTCTTCTTTTTCTTCTCTTTCTCCTTGAGATTGCAGATGGCGACGTAGGAACCATTGCATTTGACAGTGGCAATACCGCACGTGAGATTCAAAGAGACAGTGAGCGCAGTACAAGCGTACTCATAGTCTTCCTTGCGCTTCAAGATATTGAGGGGGCAGCCTGGTTCGTGGTTGTTCTTCTGGAGTTGTGGGCGCTGCCTTAGGGGTAACAATGGCTTGATGATTCCCCATCCTGACGTTTAAGCTTCACTCTATAAAGACAGAATGGGAAGAGGCCCCTCAATTGCAATAATGAGACTGGTAGAGTTTATTAAGGAGGTACTGAAAAGAATATAGTGGAGATGTATCGTTGCTGATAGATGATGGAGTGAAGCAATAACAGATGTAATGGCTGGCATCGCCTTGAATACAAGAGAGATATCTCCAATATCTGGCGATGTTGGCATAGAAGCTGACAGGTAATGATTGAGATAAGGGCGAACGTGTCCAAATAAGTACCCGCACGATACTTGGATACTTCACCCTATACTGAGCGAGGCCTTCCGTTAACCGATTCTGTAGATCTAAGCATGGAAGAGAGTAGAGTAGTGCTTGCGCCGCTGCTACAAGTTTGAGACCAGCGGAAGTGTGAGAGGGTGGAGAACTGATGGTGAGTCGAGATGAGCCGTGTTCCTGCAAAGCTTCAACGAGTGCGGCATATGGTCAACAAAGAGCCAGAAGAGAAGGATTCAGGGCTGATAGTCTCCTGCAGCGGAGAAGTGAAGCTCCACCCCCAACAACTCACAAGGCTAGTCTGCAGAGTCAAAGCCATATGCTTCAGGTATTTGCTATCGAGCAGGTAGTAAAGTTGATTCGAAGCAACTTACACAGCAATAACATCTCGATTGCTGGCTACAAGCCTGGATCACAAGTCATGCAAGCAGGTAGTATTTTGCCCACCGTTTTGTATTAAGTGATCGATTGTCGGCTCCAAAGGGGTACGCTGAGAACCCCGGAATTCGGCCTCGTACCCTCGCGCCTTTGAAGGAGTACGACGATATAAAGGTGTGAACTTTAGGGTCGACACCACCGAGGTGTCGGAGCTTCAAAGCCTGTAGTGCGGTAGGTAGAGATAACAGGCTTGAAGAAGTAAATTTGAGACGGCTCCTGACCCCACAGAAGTCTGTTTGGTAAAATATCACGGGGTTGTAGCCAAAGCACCGCGATCCTTCCAAATTACGAAAGCTGCTTTCTGCCATGAGATTTTCGCCCTATGCATGACACTTGCTGATTCTCTTACACACCGTCCTTGAGAAGTCGGATGGAAGGACTCGTCTTCTCCTCGCAGGCCACAGTTGGAACAAAGACGACATCTTCATTTCGAAATGTACTTAAGACGATATTTCTGAGCTCCAATAAAAAGACGAAGGCTGAAGGCGCTACAGTCGCTGACTGTAAAGTCTTGAATGAGTAGCTCAATGACACCACGTCCACGCTGAATTGCATTTAATAGGAGTCTGTTGACCATTTTATGAAGTGGTATGATGACGTATCCATTTATATCCATACTATACGACCAATACTCCTCAAGGCAGACAGGAGAGTATGCTCCGCAATTTCTCCAACACGACTGCCTGCTCAGTCGCATTCGCATCTGTCTTAGCGACAGCGTTTCCCACACTGATACTGGCATAACACCCCGCCGTATCAACAACCGTGGTCTCAGTCGGAAGCCTGGTCGATCCACATGTGTTGACATCCTTTGCGGTACTGCTCGTTGCGCTATTGATCCTGGACAAGACGAACTTGAAGTCGGCAGGCGATGAACAAGTACTGCAGTTCACGGCGGGGAAATTAACGTTGAGCCAGATATCGGATGGAAGGTACGGCTTGCCAGACGCCACGAGGCTCTGAGTGACATTGGTCGATAGGTCTGCGTATACGGTCATATATGTCTGCACTGGCGCAGTGTATCCGGTCTGCGACCCTGTGGTGCCGCTGAAGGCAATGGCGGGGATTCCTTCTTTTGAAGCCTCCGTCGCTGCTCCAACAGTTCCAGATATGAGAACAGTGCTACCAAGGTTTGCTTAAACGGAGGTTGTCAGATGAACCCTCCAACCCAACAGAATAAGACTCTTACCTCCCACGTTAAAACCCGCCACCGCAATATCTGGCGCACCACCGAAGAATTTGGGAGACAACGTCTGGATGCCGTAGCGCATCGATGTGACTGGGTAAGAGTTGACGTAATTGAGGCGTGTGTTGGATGCATTGTTGCCCTCGGCCGGAGATCCAGTAGGACAAGAATTATACTCGCAGGGCTCTGTGAGCGGCGTTGCTGGCGCGTCTGATGAACCTGAAAATTCTCCATCAAAACAACGGTTCTCCTGAAGATGCGGAGGGCAAGTGCATACCTGTCCCTGACTCGTTTTCAGCAGGAGCACTCAGGACAACGGAGTCGCCGGCTGCTGTTAGGGTGTTGTAAAACGTCCGGATATTTATCTCGGCCCAGCCATCATCATTTGAGAGAACGACATTTGTGGCTCTTGTGGTCAATGGAAGCAGCGCAAAAGATAGGGTGAAGAAATGCATATTATTAAACAAGATGGGGGCAATTCTTTTGGAGAATGAGGAGGAATGTTGTTCTACTGCTGTGTACTTATTGAAAGGAAGGGGAGACTAGCTTGCGCGTTCCGAATCGATGATATGGCCGTTGTATGTATACTTACACACCTTCCTCTTATCGAAAAGGTAAGGTGCCAGCGAGAGACCCACGTGCATGAGCGAGCGGTCGCCGGTTGGCCGACGGACCGTGGGAATGCATACCCGCAGCGCCACTATGCCTGACGCCGATCTTGTAGATCCAATGACGCAGCCTGACGAACGACTCTCCGCATTCATTTGCTGATTCGTCGGCCATCGAAATCCATCAACACCAATCGAAAGGTGCATGTGCGCTCCACTAAACCCTTGGCCCAAGGGAGTCTCCTTGTCATCCCAACTGCGTCCTGAAGTAGATAAGCCCTAACTCTACACCGTTCAAGTCACATAGCAAATCAGATAAACCGGTGTGGGTATGATTTCGACCCACCAAAGGGCTTCCAGAATACATGGACTCGTACTTGCGAGGGTTACAGATCTCCAAAAAATTCGCATTGGCGTTCGGGATTATGAGTTAGCTAAAGAGCGGCGCTGCGAGAAACTCTCTCCCGAAGATAAACCTACCTCTGTGCCTGACTACTTTCCCCTTTCAATGCCATATGCTGATGATGGAAGCCCTGAAGTACATGGAAAGCTGTCGATTTAGGCGATGGGACCGTAATTGAACCGACCACTCCGCGCGTTGTGGAAAAATGCGTATTTATATAGATATAGAAAGTATCAACTCAAATATCTCATCTAGACAAAGCCAGCCGGAAACAGAATAGATTTCCTCTTTCAGCATTCAAAAGATAGCAGCCAAACCTCATTGGTCCACCCACAGAATCAACTCGATATCAGGGATCGAACGTCACCTTGGCCATTTGGGTATAAGCACCGCTGACTGTCCAACTCACCAAAACATCCTTTGCGTCGGTGTCGAAGAATTGCGAATAAGCGTGTCCCCCGTAATTAAAGATCCCCTGGTCCCATGGGGGATCAAAGATCTTCTGCGCTTCCGTGTAAGGCCCCCACTCGTTTCCGCTTGTAGAGATGCTAACATAGAAGGTCGAGCCGGTTGCCGCTTCACCCATGAACATGGCGACCCAGCTTTGGTGGTGTGGTGACCAGAAAACGTCGCCAGAAGCGAAGCTGCCGGTGGCGATGGAAGCTGCCGAGGCCTCTTTCTTCGACCAGCTTGTGCCATCCCAGTAAGTTAACTTGGGTGTAGATGTCAGCATTGTGCAGAGGAGGAGTTAAAGGAGCCGCAGGAACTCTTATCAAGTAGAACGCGTGATCGCATCCTCATGCGCTTACCTTTGAAGTATCTTCCATCTCGTCCCAAGGGACCTTGGCAATATACAGGTTTTCGTCTTGGACGGCGAAGAGTCGGATCTCTCCGTCAGTATGGGAAGCGACGGCCCAACCCCACTTATACTGGAAGTCCGGAGTGATGTATTTCTGAACAGGGCGCGTGACAGTAAGGCCAGTATCGTTGGCCGTGATTTTGCATAGCGTGTTGTAATACCAAGTTCGGGGTGTACGTAAACCAACCCCATAGACAGCGTACGCCTCTAAGTCGGATCCATTGTTAAATTGCGTGGCAAGGGGATCTTGTAACATTATTAGTGTACATTGGCTTACAGTTTAGACCATCGTGTTTATCAAACGTACTGTCGGGCCAAATGAACCAGTTGCTATGATCCGTCGGGTCAGTGGCATTGCCCTCGCCTTCGCCCCACGGCACCATCAGTTCCGGGTGGCCGTTGCTTCCAAAGTCTTGGACTGCCAGAGGGTTTGAGGTATCGGGAACGTAAGTGTATGTATTGGATTCCCTAGAAAGACTTCAGTGTCAGCATTCCTTCAAGGCAAAAAGCCGAGCAATGGGACAACCCGAAGTGGTATTGAGAGCCTCTTGTTCGCAGAATATATCTCGCAAGTCGCAGGATGGTCCGTCATAGGAAGCATTTGCTCCAGAAAGGTGCGTACCAACTGGAATTCGTCGGCCCGTCAATTGGCGTCTGAGTATCGCCAAAGACAATGACATTGTGCCCGTTAACCTTTCCGCCGCCTCCGTTGTCTCTGGTAACACCTGGAAAGCCTTTCGCGGTAGCGTTTCCAGCGTAGACGGTTGCCGCAATTGCAAGGGACGACGATGAGGCTGATGCCGATGCTTTTCGTGCCACGAGGGCAGAGGAAGTGTGGAAGAAGATGACGCTCGCCGAGAGGACGCCGACAATCCTTTGAATAAACATACCGTAGAAGGGTAAAAAGGATGTCAAGATTTACCGTAAAAGGTAAAGAACGTGTAGTTACGCTCCGCGACTATACGACTATAAGGGTAAATGAATGTGATGCGCACCCTGACAGACGCAAAAAGCTGAAAATACTGTAAAGAACGACTGGCTGCAAATGTAATTGAATAGAGAAGGAAATGGTAGAAATGCAAGAAGGTATACATTTTACATAGTGAATACCAACACAACCAAATCAGTAAGGGCACGGATTTGCTAATTTACCATACAGTCACGCGCCTTTTCGTATTTGTGAAATGAGAGGATGACAGCATTGCGGTGACGGCGGCACAGGGGTGAACCAAAAGTTCGGGCTAGCACTTCTCTCCAAAGTATAAGGAAACTCCACTTGCTGTCATTACAAAACGTTCTCTGCTTCTCTGCTTCTCTGGTTTCCTGTGCACTTGGAGGCATCCAACTCGTCGTCATTCTGTGCAGACTCGTGCAGTCGAAAATCCTTGTGTAGCTCTTGGCACGGAAGTATGTGGTACCCACCAATCGATGCCGATTGTAGTACCCAATAATATAATAATAATAACGATGTTGTTAACAATGCGGGAGGGCGGTTTCGAATAGAGCAACATATTGGATTCGCCCCGGCCTAGGCCCCTCGGGTGAGAAGATAGGGGTGGGCGGCGGTGAGGTTACTTAGAATACTCGTATTCACTAGGATTTGCAATCTCGAAAATCGAAATCAAAGACTAGAAAAAAATTAAAAGAGCGTAAAAGATAATTATTAGAATTCTAGGAGTTTTTTGAATTTGGATTAAGTTTTGCAATCCTAGTGAATACGAGTATGTACCTTAGCCCGGTACCTTGCTTTCGCCACATCGTCGTGCAATTTTTAGCATCCGCGGTACTCGTACTTGAGAATACTTCTCTCGGTCTCTGGGCTCATCTTAAGATACCCGATAACCTCCCGGATCTAATGTAACAAATCTACCTCCACCCCCTGTTATTATACTATCAAGGCATTTACGAGGTAATCATGACTGGCAGGACTTGAAGGGTAGTCGTACGTGTGTTCAATGTCGTATAGACATTAAGGGCCAGTTCGGTAACCACATATTTTGAAAATAACCCCTACTTATTTTCACTAAATAACGCTACCTCTTGGCAAATGAAAATATAACTTAAAAATGACACTAATTTATATTCAAAATATGTAAAATATATATACGGTTCCGTTCGATAACTCTGTTTCTGAGGCTGAGTTAGAAACGTCGCAAAAAATTGAGAAAATCATCTTCTTTATTAGTGACCATTGAATTTCTATAATTTCACGTCATTATGGCGGAGACATCTGCTGCTACTACTATATAGGCTTTAACTATTATTAATACTTCTATTACCTTCGTTATTATTATTAATATTTCTATTAATATCTCTATTAATATTTCTATTAATATCTTTATTAATAAGATTAAAATTAGAGTAATTCTAATATCTATATATATATTAATTATAAATATTTATTATTTTAACGTGCTTAGCCTTATTTTACTAAAAAATAAAACTCGAGACTTATTTTTAGATATTTTGAAAATATATTCTAAAAATATAATAATCGAATAATATTCTATATATATATAACGCTAAGTTAAAAATAAGTAGAGGTTATTTTTAAAATATGTAATTATCGAACTAGTCTTAAGAGAAGAGATTTTAATAGAGAGATTAATAATAATAGTAATATTTCTCTAAGAATTAAGAGAGGATATAGTATATATAAAGTCTTCTTATATCGTAAAGGGAACTATATAAAGCGATTTCATAATAGAATAGTTACTATATAGTCTCTAGACTAGATATAAGTTATTTATAATAGATTATATAATAAGAGTAAAGTGATAGTAGAGATAATAGTAGAAAAAATAAATTTGTTATATGTGGGAGATTATCGAATACGATACTCGAGTTATAAGAGATTTTATAAGTCTATCTTATCTTCGATAACTAAATAGCATAGCATCGTTATTAGAAGGTTTTAGACTAGGGAATCTATATCTACATATACTAAATTAGCTATCTTAAGACTCTAATTTAGCGATAAACTTTATATATTTTAAAGTCGTTAAATAGCTAATTTACTATCTATACTAAATTACTAATATAAGTCTTCGAAAATATCTAGATATATTAAGAGATATATATATATTAAATTACGCTAATAAAATCTATAATTTAAAAGATCTTTTAAAAATATTTAGATATTCTAGCTATTCTATATATTATTATTATTATCTCGTCTATTAACTATAAATTAGATTATTTAAAATCTTTAAATTATTATCTTTTAAATCTCTTAGACTATTTAAATTATTAATCGCATTAAATAATATTTAAATAAGATAGATATATTTATTAATTAATTATCGATTCGCGATATTAATAGATTATTTCTTAATATTAAATATTAGAAAAGATATCGCACTAAGATTACTTATACTTTTCTTTATAAAATTATTATATTAATTATAAAGTCTAGAGTAATTATAACTACGATATTTAATAAACTATATATTATATATATTATCTATATAAGATAAAGAAATAAAGCGAAATTAATAGATTAGAGGGTAGATTTAAATAAATATAACGATTTAATAAATAGTCTTAGAACTAAGACTATTAAGTTAATTCTTTTTAAGTATTATATATAATATTACTACTTTAAAGCTCTCTTTAATATTAATTCTAATATTATAACGCTCTTTTTAAATAAATCTAAATAATTTAATTATATAAATTCGAAGCTTATTAGTAAAGAGAAGAATATTATAATAGATAATAATAAAGATAATATATTAATTAAGTAAGATAAGTTATTAATTAAAGATATTTAGAAGATTTCTCTAAATAATAATTTTTTAAATTTAGACTTTAAAAAAGCGTTAAAAGAATTTAAGTAATTAAAGAATATCTGATAATCGAAGAATATTTAATTAATTTAATTAAAGATTATTTCTAATATATCTATAGCGAATAATCCTATCACGCGTATATTAATAATCTCTTATTTTAAAATTCTTATTATAAAGATAAAGAAAAAGCGAAAAAAGCCTATAAAAGTAATTATAAAAATACTTTTATTAAGCGATAAAAATAATTAATAAAGAAGATTAAGACTTAATAGTATAATATTATTAATATAATAATTAAGATAGAATAAATAAGAGATATAATAAGATATTAAAATATAAAGATATAGACGAAAGTTTAGAAGATATAATTTAAGACGAATTAAAAGTAGAGAGATTAATAATATATAACTTTTTTATAATAAGATTAAGAGAGATTAAATCTATAGTAAGAGATTTTTTTATATCTATAAATAAGAGTATAATTAAAGATTTAGAAGAATTAAAAGTAAGATTAGAAGTAAAGCGATTAAATATATAAATATATAAATATTATATTTTTTTCTTTAATTTAAGAGTTCTTTATTATCTCTATTCTCTTTATTTAGAGATAAAAATTTATATAAGAAGTTAGAATTTAAGATGGACTATATAAGATTAAAGATATTATTTCTTCTTATCGGTAGATCTCTTTAATATAAAGATCAACTATTTAAAGTTTATTTATACTTATTTTAAATAAGTCGTTATTACTAATTATCGATTTTTTATATATTGAATTATTTAAGAATACTTAGTTTAAGTATTAAGTAATTAATAAATTTCTTTTATCTTCTTTACTCTCTATAAGATAGTAAGATCTCTTTTAATAAAACTACGTAGTAGCTATATAATTACGAGGTCTAGATATATAGTTAATAAAATAGATAGATTAATTACTAGATAAACTAATAACTAAAAAAAGAAAAAGAAGAAAAAGAACTTATAAGTATTTAAGACTTTATTAAGTATATTAAATACTCGTCTTAACTACGTAGCTTATAACCTAGTAAGCGACGTAAGCGAGCCTATTAATTCGCTTCGAGTACTTTTACTCTTATAATTATATCCCTCTTTAGAAGATATAGCTTCTAAACTTTATTATTATTACGTCTTATAATTAAATACTATAAACTTATTAATTCTATATATATTATTTATTATTAGTTTAAATAAAGTTTAAACTAATATATACTATAATAACATATTTAGATTACTTACTCTAAGATCTCTTTAAGTATATTAATATATTTATATATTAAATCGCGATAATATTACTTTATATATTATTATCTTAATTAATAGAATATAGATATATTACTATTCTATTATAATATATTATTATCGCTATTATAATTATTATTACTTTAGTAATTATAATAATTCTATTATTATAATTATAAAAGTCGCGCTAATAAATATAAAAGTCTTACTTCTAGTCTAACTTTTTATTCTTCTTAGTAATAATGTTAATATTAATATTAATAAGTACTTAATTCTTCTTTATATCTACTATCTTATCTTTATTTATTTCTATTATAATATTATAATAGCGAGTCGCGTATTATCGTAATAGTATAATATATATATTAATTAAGATAATAATTAAGTAAGATTAAAGTCGCTTAATTTAACTTTATATATAATAAGTATTTTAAAGAATACTTTATAATACTTTCTAGATAATATAAAAAGTATATTAATATATTAATAGTAATAAGTAATCTTCGCTCTTATAGTTCTATAGACTATTAAGTTTTTAGAGTTTTTATAATTTCTATTACGCTTACTATAGCTAATAGATATTTATATTTATTCTAAATATATACTTAGCTAAAAAGACTTAATAGCTTCTTTTACTATTATTTCTATCTTTATTTATAAGTAAAAGAGATATTAAGTAATTAAGAGGTTACGCTAATATATACTAAGACTTCTTTTATTCTTATTATATATATATACTTATATATAATTCTTATATAATTTATATTATATCTTCTATTAACTTATATTAATATAAATATAAATAATACTTTTATAGAAGTTATATATATAGAGTAG